GACTGCAATATACAAGATCACAGGAAAGTACGACAGCGGAGGGGCGGCAGTGCCAACGAGCGTCGTGGACTCGCTGCGTTCGAATTCGAACCTAAGACCGCCAACGGCCATCTCAACCGCCTCCACACGGACCCCCGCAAAGGTCGCCTCCAAATGCCAGCCAAAATGTTGAACTGGAGGGACTGCGAGGGCACAGGCGGGGAACCGCACGGCCGTTGGAGGTTGCCGTGGGACTGCAGTCCTGTGGTCTACCGGGCAACACTGCGGTTAGACCAGGAATGCCAAAGACAATGCCAAAGACAGACCAAAAAAAAAAAAAAAAAAAAAAAAAAAAAAAAAAAAGTTTTTTTGCGGATGTAATGTGCCACCCCCTACTTTCAAGTCACCTCCACGGGCGTCCTTACATCAAGGTCGGTTTTGGCTGGGGAGCCCTTACTTTTGTAGGCCCCGCGAATGTGAAAACAAGTTCGACTAGGGAGGGGTGGAACCATGAAAACCTTACATGTAAGGGTTTTGTAGTGCTGTCGAACGAGGCCCTTCGACTGGTTTCCGTGCCCCGCGTACCGTCAGACACATGCAGCTCTGGGCGTAATTCCAGTCACATACATCCACGAATTCCTACCTTCTTCCCCCGAATACAACGCACGGTCATTATAGCCGTATTTGGGGTATGTTTTTAGTCTAAATACAGCTATAATGACCGTAAGTTGTATTCGGGGGAAGAAGGTAGTGTGATTGGACCATTTCTCGATTTATGCGTGTCATCCTTGCGCAGGGGCCATGCTAATCTTCTCTGTATCGTTCCAATTTTAACGGATGTCCCGAAGGACGGTAGTGTGATTGCGTGGAATGAGCATCAAGAATAATTGGGCGAAAAATAAATAAATAAATAAATAAATAAATAAATTGGGCGGGGAGCCATCTTGCAGGCAAAAGCAGACTACCGACAAACAAAGAACAAAACAAAAAACAAAACAGCTGGCTACACGTCGTTGTACCTCGCAAGCAGGCACCAGGAAGAAGCGGGGCGGAGGTCCCTCTTTAGCAAGGAGGATCGGATCTGAACGCCTGACTCTGGACGTGTTCGTGGAGAGGTGCAGGATACCGAGATGGAACTGCTTTTCTGCATCTCTGCACAAAACACATCCAGATTCAGGAGCTTAATCCAATCCTCTTTGCTCGTGGGACCTCGCCCCCGGGCTTTCGTTCGTGAGTTGTCAGCGGCTATGAAATCTGATTTTTGATCATTTTTTTTCTCTTCACAAGAGAAAAAAGGAATATTGATCGGAAAAGAAAAAAAAGTTTTCATCGGCTGGCTTCGCCACGCCACTGACGAGGTGCGAAAAGGACTAACTGTGGCGGCTGTATCTTCCACCGCTCTAGGGAGAAATGCATTCTCCATTTTGCTCATTTTGGTGACTTGTCAGCGTCGCACGCCAGCTCATCGGGGCTCGATTCGGCGTACTGACCCGTATCTTGCCGTCTGCTCTTTCGTGGCGAGTGCTTGGGTATGGCGGGGGATGGCGGTGTTTGGGCCTCGCTCCACGACACAGCACCCTGTCTATCTGGACCTGTTACTGATCTCTATTATGGGTCTCGCCCCACGGCACACGAAACGAAAACGAAACGAGTGCATGTGCCCACGAAAGGTGGCAAAGTACACTCGTCTCTATTTATTGCAAACCGATGAACCTTGCCATTCTCTCAGGAAGATGCACTCGTTTCGTTTTTCGTTTCGTGTCCCGTGCGGCGACGCCCTATATGGGTCAATGCTGCTTGGGGAGATTTTGAACAGAGATTTCCCGCCGCGATGAGCTCCCGCCAAAATGCCCTTCGTACATTCGTTTGCAATTTGTGTTGTATGTTTCCCTGGAGGACCGAAATGTACAGCCGCAGTTTTGTGTTTTTTTTTTTTTTTTTTTTTTTTTTTTTTTAAGAATGTGTGTTTGATTGTCAAACTGAGAAGGCGGGGCCGGGGTCCCCACAATTCAACCCGGGGCCAAGTCCCACTTGACCGGATTCTTCATTTCTGGCCGTTGATTTTCATGATCTACGGTCGGGAATGGAGGATCCGGGTAAGTGGGACTTGGCCCCCGGATAGTCACGTCTGGCAGCATTAGCCAGCTTCGCTTTTGACGGGACTAGTAAGACCCGAAAAACATCTGAAATGGAATTTAAATGTCCTGAGAGCTCATCTAGGTCTGCTAATGTAACTATGGGGTCGGGGTGGGGGTAGATTGGTAACATGTCTTCTGAAAAGAGGGGGTGTATGGCGAACAGAAAGGAAGGTGCTTTAAAGGAGTGAAAAGGGGGGGTGCAGAAGGCTGGGGAGGGGAGTAAAGGTATCTGGTGGAGGAGATGGGTGGTTTTCCCCAATGAGGAGGCTGGGGAAGGGGGTAGAAGGTGTAGGACGGGGAATGGAGGTAAGGTTGCCGAGGGGGCAGTTACGGGGGGAGAGAGGAAAAGGTGAAGGATAAACTCTTCCAGTCTATTCTATCTCCTGTTCCTACTGTCTACCTACTATTCTAATCCGTAAGACCTATAGGACTTCACAGGCCTAGATACGGCCTGAAACCCGCCTAAACACGGTGGGTTGGAGCCTGTACCACCGTCCGGCTGCCTTTCGTGACTGACACTCTCCTCCCGCCTCACCTCAGCTTCCCTGCTGGTGACCTACTGTGGCCTGAACAAACCGAGTGTGCTGGTTGGGAACAATCCCCGCACAAAGGTGAAAGCGTGGATTAAACTACAAGTACTTGGGCGACGCCTTAGCGTTAAAGCCGGCGGGCCGTCGATAAATGGAATCGACAGCCCGCGCTGCTTCGAGATTTGGGCGGCGCGGCGCGCAGTGCCCAAGTACTGGTGGTTTAAGAAGGCGATGGGAAACAGGGTGGCCTACCGTGGCCTGAACAAACCGAGTGTCCTGGTTGGGGAACAATCCCGGGCACAAAGGTGAAAGTGTGGATTAAGAAGGCGATGGGAATCAGGGTGGCCTACTGTGGCCTGAACAAACCGAGTGTCCTGGTTGGGGAACAATCCCCGCACAAAAGGAGTGTCTTGTTTTTGGGAAAGGTCATAAAACCTCCCCGCGAGGAACCCTTTGAATCCATTTCCCCCGAAACAAGTAAAAAGGTGCCGCAGCCCCTCACGTGTTGCGCCTTCCAAAACACCAAAACACTTTCCGGCCATTTTTACACCGCGGCCGTTACCGGCCCAGCCAGGGTGCAAAAATGGGACCTGCGGCAGTTTTTTCCCCGTTTGGGGGGAAACGGACACAAAGGTTTCGTCGCGGGGAGGGTTTATAACTTTTCCCTTTTTTTTTGTTTTTTTGGTGCCGTGCTCGCATTGAAGGCGGTCTTGACTCGGCTGTGGACGTCATTGCGGTCAGATGCATCCATCCGCAGCCGAATCTGCCGCAGATGCGCAGAGTGATGCAGCAGGGTCCAAGGAGTTAGAAAATTTGGTGGGCCGCCCCCTTGCTTGCAGTCAGCTTCAATCTGCTCTATAGATATTTCGGAAACTCTCCGCCGTTCCTGGTCTTTGAGCTTATAGATAGTTCGATCTTTTTTTTTTTTTTTTTTTTTTTTTTTTTTTTTTTTTTTTTTTTTTTTTTTTTTTTTTTTTTTTCTAGTTTTGGCAGCCAGATGCCTCTGTTCTTGGCGGAGGTGCATCTAGTGTTGTTTTCAGAATTGTTTCCTACCGGCTTAGGCAGATCGGATTCACTAAGAAGGTTACCTGAATGTTAAGTGATAAATGCAGAATGGTTAAGCGCTCCGGGTTAGGTAACAGGCCTTCTATTGGACGATCTCAGTAGAATTCAGGGGAGTCGCAGATGGACTCTCAGGAAGCGAAGCCGGGTATTGCTCCCGGATATGAATGCTGGTAGGATCATGGATTGCGAGTTAGTTCGTTAGCTTATTCCTTTGTGTTTTTTGGTAGGTTGAATTGTCTGATTTTCCCCCTTTTTCTCTTCAGAAATAGCATGACTGTTGATCGGAGTCAGGGACACTGGACCCGGGGCCAAGTCCCACTTGACCGGATTCTTCATTTCTGGCCGTTGATTTTCATGATCTACGGTCGGGAATGGAGGATCCGGGTAAGTGGGACTTAGCCCCCGGTTTCCAGTTAGCCTCTTTGAGGCTTGGCTCTTCATTCCGGGTTGAGATGTGGAGGGATTCCCGGCCTCCTTCTGCTATTATAATGGAATGATGCTATTTAAAAAAAAAAAAAAAAAAAAAAAAAAAAAAAAAACTCTCTGCCGCTCTGCCTTTCTCTTGCGTGCTGCTGTGGACGTCATTGCGGTCAGATGCGTCCATCCGCAGCGGAATCTGCGGCAGATGCACAAGTCGTTAGAATTCGGTGGGCGGGGCACCTTTGATTCCTGTCAGCTTCAGTCTGCTATATAGATCTTTCGTGAATTCTCCGTCTCAAGTCCGTGTCTTTCTCTCTTGCGCGCTTTGTGTGGGCGTGTGTATGAGTACGCAGGCGTGGCCGCGGCTGTGAGCGTTGTGACAGAATCGAAGGGATCGCCGTTCTTACTGCACGTACCCGCAAGGAGAAGACGAGGCGCTCGTCGGTTTGACTCGGAAGAGCTGGGGAAGAAGAAGCAGGGGATCAGATAGTCGTGGTGTGAAGAGAAGTGTGTAGTCGGCAAGAGAAGCGCCTGCGGCATCAGATAGATGACGGCTGGTGCGCGAGCCATGCGTGTGTAGTTGATTTGATGCACGAACCGATGCTCGAGCTGTCGTCGATGTTGTTCTTCACTCAGGGAATGACGTCGAGGTTGTCTGACGTGCTCGCCTCGTAGCAGACGAAAGATCACGGCAGCCTTCCGACAACATATACGAAGATAAGGCGACAGTGTTTTCCTCTTTTCTCTTCCCGCCCTTCCTCCCTCCCTCCCTCCCTTCCTTCCTTCCCTCCCTCCCTCCTTGCTCCTGCACCACTCACCATTGACGAACTTAGGCGTAGTACAAGTACACGCTTAGTCTCTGTAGTCAGATTAATAGCTGAGACGATACTACAGGCCAGGCCACATCAGCGTTGCTAGTGCTAACGGTACGATGAATCTCGTCGCTTTTCTTGCCGCAGGGGCGCTTCGTGTCGGGAGGCTGCGGTGGCGGTGTTTCTTGATCTTGACGGTCATTGCCTTGACTTTGCTCGGGGGTGTGCTGGCCGCCGAGGATGACGAAGACGACGCCATCGCTAGTTTTCTTCACGCCTCGTCAGGCGAGCGGTACGACTCAGGGAGGCCGGAGAGTCGCCGCGTGGCGCTAGCGATGGCGAACTCCTCGGGGTTGACGATTCTGCAGCCGAACCTCGTAACCAGCGCCCTGCAAGTGCTCCAACTTGCACCGGGGCTTAACCTCGACACTCGCAATGACGGCGATAGCAACCTTTGGTGCGGGGCCATCATTAAGAACATAGTGTTTCGCTCCTCCCTTCCCACGGACGGAGTGTTTTATTTTCTCCTTGACGATGCTTGCGAAGTCAACGGCACGGTAAGGCTTCAGGTCATGGCTGTGAGGAAGGGTGATCTGGACCCGTTACGCCAAGGATTGCAATCGTTCGCCGAAGAAGAGCTTGTCAGTTATTGGTGGCGAAACACGACTTTGGGCGGGATTCGACGCGTTCTGCCCGTCGTGTACCAATCAGGGAGCGTCATGACGAAGATGTCGAGCATCAAAGGCATGGATCTCTCGCCATCTGGCACGCATTTAATGTTGAGCACGGACGTCCTCGGCGAAGATACGTACTCCAGGGTGACGTTTCTGTCGGTGCCCGACGGTAATCGGACATCTTCTTCCCAGCCCGCCGCCATGTCCGGCACCTTGACGCTGAATCCCGCCAAAACGCAGGTCTACCTTTCAGACATTGGGGAGCCTACGCGGGTTCTGGCTGCGCCGGTCGCCGCCGTCGAGAACGCGGTTGCTGGACAATCATCAACATGGACGACCGTCGCAAGCTTTCCGAGCGGGAGCCAACCGAACATATCGACGGTTTTTTTCAACCACCAGAGCTTCGCGCCCGACGGGGCTTGCCTATACTTCGTTGACAGAGCTTACCACAGGATATGGTCGATGCAGGCGACGTCGGGGGAGGTCACGCTGGTCGCGGGCACTGGGGTAGCCGGTGTGATAAATGGCGATGGCGGAATTGCAACCTTCCGGGGCTTGCGGGACATCCTCGTCACCCCTGATGGCTGTAATCTCTTCGTCTCGGAGATAGGTGGACGCATCCGCTGGATCACGCTTCAGTCACCTTGCGGGCGTGCCAGCAGCGTGGAGACTATCGCTACGTATCCCGACGATGGACTCTGGGGATTGGCTTTCAAGGACGAAGGGATGCATCTGAAACTGTACGCTGGAGGTAACGACGGGTCGCTCTTTGAAGTTGCACTCGTGAAATCGGCATTGCATGTATGCGGCGGGAGCGCGGGGCCAGGCGGAGGATCCCCCACCCAGGCCCCCATCCCAATTCCAGACCAACCCGTGGCCTCTTCAACTCTTCCCACCGAACCCGCCGTCGTCTCCAATTCTCCTGTAGACCGCACCCAGTCTATGCCGCCTCCGGCTCCACAAGTCCCGGAGAGTGAGGCTTTGCGATAGAACACCAGGCACTGGAGACTCTCTCTCTCTCTCTCTCTCTCTCTCTCTCTCTCTCTCTCTCGCTCCGTGCTCTGTGTCTCCCCCTCCATGTGCTCATTTTACTTTTTTTGACAAGTTCTGCTAAGTTTGTTTTTCCCCCACTTTCTCCGGGCCGCGTTCCCGCGCTGTTCCTGCCCCTTGTTAGATCTCTCATTCTGTCGTAGCGTCTTCTTCCCGGCTTGGGCTTCTTCTCTGACTGACGTACTAATTCGGCGGTTATCTCTTATCTTACCTTTGCATCAAGCCATCATCGCGTCTAACTTGCACTGGAGTGATGTCCCACTCACCCAGATTCTCCGCTTCTAGTCTTTGTTGAGCTTGGTTGACGTTCGTCATCCACCGGCGAGGAGGAGGAAGCGAGAAGGGGGGGAAATGGGTGCTCGCGGCTGGTGAAGGGCTCAGCGCCGATATCGCTCTCAATTCTTTAAATTTCCTTGTTTCAGTTCCCGTTCCTGACCCTCTTTGTTCGTTTTATGGTCCTTCCTTCTCTATTCCCTGTCTTTTCGTTTGGACCTCTTTTCTTTAGGCGACTCTTCTCCAGTACGGTCAATACTGTATGTGGCGAATGTCAGTGTGTGTGAACGTTAGTAGGAAGGTTTGGTCTTGAGCAGCGCTCGACGCAGGTCGATGTTACTTCCTTTGTTTTTCAGTTTTCTCCCTTTTTCTCTTCCCTTAAACTTGGCTTAAAGCTCCCCTCCAGATAGTTCTGGTCTTCTAGTCTAAGTAAAAGTTGAGCACGGAGCAGTAGTGAACTCATAGTCATTACCCGATACTCGGAATTCCATTTGCGTAGCGACACATGATCGTAGTGCTATTGGCTGTCAGCAGGGCTTTAGGGAATTCTTAGCAGGCTTGACTTTCTGGATTGAATGAATCTGGCCGTAATTGTGGGTCAAATAGGTTTTAGATTAACTTCGGCTCTCAGGCATTTCGCCTGACAGTGTATACTCTTAATGATAGTCTGTCGTTGCGTGTAGTACATAATAGGGCAAGTCAATAACTAGCTTTCAGTAAGTCAGGAGATGTGGACTTGTGGTCCCCGATGCTATGGCCGCTGAGTAGAATCAGTCCCTGGCGACTGGATGATTCCATTAGCCCATTTTTTTTTTTTTT